CGTCATAAATCAGCTATCTGAATGAAATGCTTTGCATCGATGCTTTGAAAGAACAATGTGATCAAATTAAATTCGATCAACACATATGTAGACTAGAAACTATACGATTCAACAGAACAAGAAATATAGAGAATACATCAATCAAAATGTAATAATTATATTGCAATAGATGCTATTTAATTGGAATATCAATAGAGCATAAAGAAATTTTACAAGACATTTGGATTCTCAAAGTGAAATGGATGTATTGCTTCGTATCGTATGGTGTCACCATAAGATAGTAATAACCGAGTTTCATGAGTTAAGCAGTTTCTCAATAGTTTCGAACGCACGAAACACGGATATATCTCTCTCGTCATCTGCACCCACATCCAATCAATACTCTTTAGTCGCCTTTAAAGTATCATGTGTGAAAATGAATGCAACAATTAACGACATGTACCGAGCTAGTTTCAGTTAAAAAGACAATCATACATTAAAGAGCGTAAAGAATTTAACTAAAGTTCATAAAATTTTCTTCGTGAAACTTCGTTAAATGAATTTCTTATTCGCAAATGGATGATACTTTCTTCATCTTCCAGTAGGTATATGTTTAGACTGTCAATGTGCATCATCGATTGATGACGTTTCTAAAATATTCATTTTTCTTTCTACAGAATAATCATGCCTATGATAAAAAAGAAGAATAGTCACGGTAGAATTGCCAAGGTATATGTGTTTTTTTTCTTCAATATAATTTATCAGTTCTCTTCTTCGACCACATTTGGAATAAGTTTGTAAATATGCGTAGAATATGCCTATTAGATTGGAGCGTAATGATAAGCATAATTTACTAAACTCAAATGATTCTAATTATCCAATGAATAAAATGTCTTTTATATAAATTATGCACTAAAAATAAGAGTCAAGCAAGTATAAAGAGCAATGCCAATTAAAAAAATATTATGTTGATCAGTGAAAATAAGAGTAAAATTAAACGCCAACGATAGTCATGCACGAAAAAGTATACTACGCATTATCATTTTTATTTTTTCTTTAAGCTTGATTTATAATTTATCCGTATCTTAAAACTACCATATATCAAACTGTAAACGGGTGATTGTAAATGAAAATCTGTAGAATAATGTAAAGATGCTGTATGCTATCCATTTATGATCATATACACTCCATTGTGTACGACATCATTAAGTATTACTAATATTTGAGCACGCATTATTTTATTTTCATGTAACGATAAGTATTTATTTATATCTTCCTTTACTTTTCATTTCATCTTCAGTTCTCTTTTTTTTTTATTCAATAAAAAGCAGCAATAAAAATCTTCTCTAATTATTGATCAAATCCATTAGGTATGTAGAAAATACAGCAACAATAATTTATCTGCCAATTAAAATTTGTATTTGCTAAGTTTTTAAATAGAACTCGCAGGTGTAAAACAAAATCGCTAACGAGGGAACATTCCCAAGTGATCCGCTCCATTTTGACTCATTCACATCTCATTCGAAACAGTATATTGAGATAAGAAAAAGCGTAAAAGAATTAGTGCCCATGGTCTACTGGTGAAGAGTTATGCCCGTTTTACTGAAATTTTTACTGTGAGCCAAGCGTTTCGGGAAAAACCAAAATGAAGAATTTCGACCGGAAATTTTAACTATAGATAGATTTAATAGTCATTAGATAGTCCTGAAAGTTTCAACGACAACGAACCCGTCTTTCTCGAGATATTCAATGTCCAACTAAACTGGATTATTGTACCATCCTATGGTAAACAGCCGGTTTTTTGAAAATTGAATAACTTGAGAAAGACACGTTCGTTTTCGTTGAAACTTTCAGGACTAGCTAATGACTATTAAATCTATCTATAGTTAAAATTTCAGGTCGAAATTCTTCATTTTGGTTTTTCCCGAAATGCTTGGTTCACAGTAAAAATTTCAGTAAAACGGTCATAACTCTTCACCAGTAGACCATGGGCACTAATTCTTTTAGGCTTTTTCTTATCTCAATATACTGTTTCGAATGAGATGTGAATGAGTCAAAATGGAGCGGATCACTTGGAAATGTTCCCTCGTAAGTGAAAATTAATAACAATAAATAATATCTAACAAAGACTAAATACGTTTACTAAGATAGATTGAAATTTTTTATGCTAATATGGTTATATATTTTTTCTCTGTCATTCCTTGTCACTATTGAACTATCAAAGTGATACATGTACATTCATCTAAATTTTTCGTTCTGATGTCATACCTACATGCATAAGTGTGTCTGTTATACATAATCTGTATTAGTCTGTCAAGAATTTTTTTTGATTTCCTAATTCCTAGTATGCTATCACTCTCATTCACTTCAAAGTGCGAATTTTAGTGTACAGACGAGTGTTTGTCAAAAGAAGACTTCTACCAACATTCAGAACTCACATTGACAAATGCATACTGAAATCAACAAACTCTCTGTTAAAATGAAAATTGCTGAAAATCCATTTTAATTGATTCGTGCGCATAAGGATGAGTTGATAGAAGTTTAGAATGTTGGTGCTTGTAAGTGTTAGTAATTAGCAGAAATGTTGTTTTGTCGATTTAAAATTATTTTTAACAAATTACTTAACATTTAAATGAGATTTAAACTCGTTCACGAATATTTATAAATTATACTCAACAATAGAATGCATCATGTAGTTAATAAAGTACATTTTCACTGATGAAAAAGATTGAGAAAGGAAAGTTACAGACAAAATATTAAAAGAAGGTGATCGATAAAATATTTACAAATAAGTTGTATCGAAGCATGCTCATTGCATACCGACTTGTACTATTTAGAATATACATACTTCCTGAACATTATTTTTGTGAAATATCATTGTTTTGTTGTAGATGAATGAAAATTATATTGATAATAGTGCAGCTTCAGTTAAACATTCGTTTATTGAACAACATCCTTACGTTAATAATGATTGACATGAAAACTCAAGACAAAGTATATTTAATTCATCAGGATTCGTCATTGTTACTAATAATAGGAAGGTGTCATCAATCACTCCAACACCTTTGTATATCAGTTTCTTTTCTTCTCAATCATCATAATGTATAAAATATTCTCGTTAGGGAATACTCATGGTCGTCAAAACATCAATATTTAATAGGTAGGAGTGCATTTACTATGTTTACGATTATAGTCATCACTATTGATATGCTGACAGTTTGTTTCACTTCATCAAAAGTTAACGGTATGTTCTTTTTTTACTGATATAGAAGACATTTCATATACGTAAAATAAAATGTGATCGAATATCTATAACTAAAAAGTTAAAAAAACCTTTTCTGACTATTTCTGATTGAATAGATCAATAAAAGTCATAGATTGCTCATTATGCGAAAACCAACAGGAAAAATAGCTGCATACTTATCAGTCGAAAAGATAGCGTTGAAAATTCGTTACTATTATGATGAAACCACTGATAAATATATCAGATATTGCAGAGGTACGTTCTCAGTACTATTATTTCCTGCTAGTCACTCATTAGAACCAGATTTCCTTTCGTCTCTTGTTATAGTTTTGTCTATTGTTACTCTCAATATCTAGAAGAACAATGGTTTTTATTTGTGTCTAGTTAGGGAAGATAACAAATTCTGACAACGTATTATACGAGTTGTGATGATCCAATAGAAACACTATCATTTAATCCGTTCGGGGCGATGGGACTTATCGGTGGATCCCACTATAAATTACAGTCATTAGTCAGTCATCAAAACAAAAGGTCCTTAGAAAATCTATTTGTCTATCAGATTTCATAGAGCTATCTGCGCTGATCATTTTGCGAAAAAAATATTCTAGATTTGACTAATAAATGACGGTGCCAGTATCAAAATACTGAAACAAGTCAAGCAGCTCTATTTACTAGAGCTACAACGTTTTTCAGTATTTTTATCCTAGCACCGTCATTTATTGGTCAAATTTTAAATATTTCTTTTTACTAAAATGATCAACGCAGGTAGTTCCACAAAGTTTGATAAACGAAGATATGTTCTGAGAACTTGTTGTTTATCCTAAAATTTTTGAAACTTTCCGTGGTTCTATAACCCACTATCACCCTATGAATCACCAGTTGTGTTCATAAGTCCCACTTTTAACGGGCTTTCATTTGTTCTAAAAATCACTTGTATATCTCATTGAAATTGAGCCGTAATCCTTGGAAAAACATTTTTGAGAATCCTACAGAATCACATCGCCGCCAATGGTTTAAGCAACTAGTCAGTCTTCAGATCATTCTTAGTGTCTTTTAGCATACAAGTGTGAGTTAAAGTTCAAGTCAATAGCCAAAAATCCTATTGAATATAATTATGGGCCTCGATCTGTCGTCGTTGGCGATTTCAACAACGATGCTTGGGTATATATCGCCATTGCCAATCATCTCGTTAACAGTATAACTGTATATCTTGGACATAGCAACCGTACTTTTTCAAGTCCAATTGAGCATCCGACGGGTACTGGATCTGCCCCATACATGATTGCTGTTGGTGACTTCAACAACGATTATAAATTGGATATCGTAATCGCAAACTTTGGCACTAATAACATCGGTATATTTCTTGGGCTTGGGAATGGTTCTTTCATAAAACACATAGATCTTTCAACTAGTTCTTCTCGGTCAATTTCTATTACCGTAGCTGATTTCAACAATGACAGGCAAGCTGATATTGCTACCGCCAGCTATGCAACTCATACTATAAGTATATTCTATGGATATGGCAGTGGAAACTTTTCGGACTCACTGACGTACTCGACGGGTTATGATTCGTTTCCATCTTCGTTGACTGTCGGAAATTTTAATAATGACAAATATTTAGATCTTGCCATTGCTAATTGTGGCACCAATAATGTCGGTGTCTTTGTTGGAAATGCCAACGGTACGTTTGCGAATCCAATAACATTTTCAACTAGCTTTGCGTCTCATCCTTACTCAATTAGTGCTCCCTACTCGAATCGATATCATTGTCGCTCATATGGATGACAATGATGTTAGCGTGCTTCTTGGATATGGTAACGGCTCTTTTGTAAATCAAACAACATATTCTACTGGATATGGTCCATCGTCAATAGCTGTTGCTGATTTCGACACCGACACTCGAGTCGATATTGTTAGCACCAATGTACATAGCAATGATGTCAGTATCCTTCTTGGATATGGTAATGGGTCATTTGCAAATCAAACGAAGTATTCCACTGGTTCATATCCATTTTATGTAGCTGTTAGTGATTTCAACAATGATACTGATTTGGATATCGTTGTTACTAATGTGTATAGCCATGATGTCAGTATCCTTCTTGGATATGGTAACGGTTCTTTTGCAAATCAAACCACATTTCCAGCTGGTTCTAATCCATACTCGGTAGCTATTGGTGATTTGAACAACGACAGTCGACTCGATATTGTTGTCGTCAATTACGGTAGCAATGATGTAAGTGTTCTTCTTGGATATGGTAATGGCTCTTTTGAAAACCAAATAACCTATTCAACTGGCTCTGGTTCAGGAGCAGTAGCTATTGGCGATTTCAACAATGACAACCGATTTGATATTGTTGTTGCCAATTATTATAGCAATAATATAAGTTTATTGCTGCAATATAATAGAGTAACTCTCGTAAACAAAACAACCTTAGCATCTGGTGGTGGTGGTTCTCGTCTACGACATTTTGCTGTCGGACATTTGAATAATGACACTCATTTAGATATTGTCGTTGCTAATTACGGCACGAACACTATAGGTATCCTTCTTGGATATGGAAGTGGCACTTTCACAAGCCAAATGGTGCTTAAAACTGGTTCAAATTCTCATCCAACATTTATCGTCATCGGTGATTACAATGGTGACACGCATTTGGATATTGCTGCTGGCAATTATGGTTCAAGGAATGTAGATATATTGCTTGGAAATGGACAGGGAAATTTTGAAATTCAAGCAACTAATGGAATTCGTTTCATTTCCACTCCGTTTGCTGCTGCTTCTGGTGACTTCAATAATGACAAGCAATCGAAGATTGTTGTCGCATATGATAACAGTGATAATGTAGATGTCATTGTTGCACAAAACATTGGATCTTTTGAAAATCAAATAAAGTATTCCAGTGGCTATGGTCCATACTCTGTAGCTGTTGGTGATTTTAACAACGATACTCGATTGGATATTGTTGTTGCCAATTCTGGTAGCAATGATGTCAGTGTCCTTCTTGGATATGGTAATAGTTCTTTTGCAAATCAAATGACGTATTCAATTGGATCTTATCCAACGTCTGTAGTTGTTGCTGATTTCAACAACGACAGTCGACTGGATATTATTGTTGCGAATTATGGCAGCAATGATGTGAGTATTCTCCTTGGAGATGGTAATGGTTCTTTTGCAAATCAACTGAAATATTTAGTTGGTTCTTATCCATTCTTTGTAGTCGTTGGTGACTTTAACAACGATAGTAGACTGGATATCGTTGTCGCCAACTCATATGGCAATGATGTGAGCGTACTTCTTGGATATGGTAATGGGTCTTTTACGAATCAAATAAAATATGCAACTGGCTCTTCTCCATCATCTGTAGTTGTTGCTGATTTCAATAATGACACTCGATTAGATATTGTTATCGCAAATTGGGATAGTAATGATGTTAGTATTCTTCTCGGATATGGTAATGGCTCTTTTACAAATCAAACAAGATATTCAACTGGTTCTGGTTCTGATCCATCATCTGTAGTTGTTGTTGATTTGAACAACGATACTCAACTCGATATTATTGTCACCAATTATGGTGGCAATGATGTCCATATTTTTCTTGGATTTGGCAATGACTCTTTTAGAAATAAGATGACATATTCAACTGGTTCGTCTCCATCGTCTGTCGTTGTTGCTGATTTCAATAACGATAGTCGACTAGATATTATTATTGCCAATTATGGTAGCAATGATGTAAGTCTACTTCTTGGATATAACAATATAGTTTTCATGAAAAAAACAACGCTAATAACTGATAATGATTACCGAACACAATCATTGACCATCGGTGATTTTGACAATGATGATCGAATGGATATTGTTGTTGCTTATTTGGGTACACACAATATTGGTATTTTTCTTGGATATGGCAATATTTCGTTTACAAGTCAAGTGACATATTCAACTGGTTCATCTTCGTTTCCATACTCTATAGCTGTTTGTGACTTCAACAATGATAATCGACTCGATATTGTCGTCGCTAATTATGGCACTGATAACGTAGGTATTTTTCTTGGATATGGCAATGGCTCTTTTAAAAATCAATTGACATATTCAACAGGCTCTAATTCTGATCCATATTCTGTAGCTGTGGATGATTTTAACAAAGATACCATTCCAGACATTGTTGTCGCCAATCATGGCACCAATAATCTTGGTATACTTTTTGGAAATGGAAATGGCACATTTGAAAGTATTATTCCGTTTTCTTTGAGTTACGGATGCCGCCCATTTTTCGTTGTCAGTGCTGATTTCAACAATGACAGGAAGCTAGATATTGCTGTAGCGAATGATGGCATCGATAGTTTAAATATTCTCTTACAAACTTGTTAATTTTGGAGTTTGTTTATCATTTTTTTTTGTTATTATTCATTTCATTTATATGATGATATAAAATAAAGTATTGATTAAATATTCAAATATATCTTGAGTGCAAATGCTACATTGATTAACATGCGAAACAGGATAAACTTGTTGAATAAAAATGTGGGTATCTGTATGGCATTGGTTGAGCATCCACACTCACGCCCATGAAAACTCTTGTCCTCAACCAAAAGTTTTTCAAGAATTATTCTATATGAATATTTATAGTACGAATATATTGTGAATAATATGCTGGCATTATTGACGTTCAATGACATTTGTCATAATTGTTTGAAACTGATAGAAAGTCAATTAGATTATGATAAATCACAGTAGAAATGTTTTCGTAGATGTTCACTCATTTTATCGTTCTAAAATTCCAAATTAGTACGAAACTATTTAATAAAACGATTATATACATTGCTAGTGTATGTGTAACATTATCCAATTCGTTCAGTTATTTTGAAATTGAAGTATTTTATCAAGCTAATGTAAAAAAAGAAATATTTCTTTATTTCATTATGAAATATGAATGCTTTTCTCCATAATTGATTCGACAAATGTTAAGCGCTCAGAAAAATACCGATGATTTTATCGAAACTTTCAAATATAACTGATCTTCGTAGATTGACTGTTGATATATATATATATATCGATAATGCTGTGTTAAACGTTTATTAACCTGTATACTCTATATTTAAAACTTTTCTATTGATGCAAGTGATCTATGGATACATGAAATCAAGAACTACGATATAAAATTTTTAGTAACATTTTAATTAACTGTAAAAGTATCTCTAATGCGAATTAGTGTAGATTCTCTACCGCGTTCGAAGATCATGTTCTTTTGTATTTATCTTATCTACGTATAGATTGACAATGCATATTCTTAATTCATCGTTGTTAACTTCATTTACTCATAAGCAACAACCGAACATTTTTATCCAAAAACAATATCAGATTTATTTTATTAGCCATTACTGTAATTATTTTCTTGTCTGTACTTCACTATGCAATAGCAGAACTCTTCCATTGAACTTACCTTTTCTACAGATTTAGAAAAATAGGTAGAAAAACATATTTTTATTGTATTTAGATATTGTCAAAAATTGATCAATGTCGTTGATTTATTTCGACATGCTAATGAGTATTGTCTCTTAGATCTCAGTAATCATAATAGTTTACTATCATTACTGGTCCCATGCTCGTCAGAAAACAACTCTCAATTGATGAAGGCGAAGTTGTTACTTAAACCGAGCTAAAAGTCATATTATCAATGGCTTAAAAGGTGGGCCCATTACATACAGATGATCATGACAGTACTTCAATCCACATAATATTCCTTGATTGTCATAATATTGGAACTCGTGTCAAACAATAGGTAAGGATTTCTATTTAAAAAATCATTGTCTTCAGATTAGCTTGTCTAAAATTTTAATATTAAAATGAAAGAATTCTTTTTAAAAAAAAGCTTTGAATTTATTGTATATTTTGATTTTTATTGAAATAAATATGATTTTCTCTTGTATTTGACACTTTGACATATCACTGGCAAAACAATAATCTAACTTAAAGTGGGATGTGAGCGTGATTGCGTTCTAGCATTATTTCTACTGACACTCACAGTTATGTACACACGAAGGCCTAGTCATATAAATACACCCTTCAAAGGCCCACATCTAATAGCTTATTTATAATAATAAATAATATTGTTCGGATTGTTTTTTACGTGAGTTATTTTTTCAACGAAATTTTAATATTTTATACATGCATACGTAGAATTACATGTGATTATTAACTATAAAAATGACGTATTACATGCAGTCAGCAAAAAAGAATTCTTATTTTTCTTTCTTAGCGGCGTAAAAAATCACCTTGGATGACAAGTGTTTGTATTTTCTTTTTTTTCTCTACGCAGGAAGACAGACTGCTGCATCGTAATTAATCATCGGTAATACCGGGTGTTGCAAAAGTTTTGCGACATTTGTCATTTCATATATAGCTCGACTTAGCAAAATGATAAAATCTTGTTTTATTTTTGTAAAAGATGCACCATGAAAAGCTCTACAAAATGGTATAAATAAATTCCTATTAACTTGTTCTGATGGTTCTTCCCATACTCAAAATGAACAGGCTACACGATAGTGCTACTTCCCACCATAATAAAAGTGTTTGGAAGACTGTTTTTGTTTTGCATATATCTAGATTTGAGAAACTGATTAAGTCTTCATTTTTATTTCAAAAGATGTGCCGTAATAAGCTCTACACAAACTGTAGAAACAAATTCCTGCTGTTTTTCTCTGATGACTTTTCCCATTCTCAAAATGAAAAAGCTAAATGTTAGTACTACTTCTCACCGTATTACATGTAAAAAATCTTTCGAAGACCCTTTTCTATTTCGCAACATGGATTTGTTTATATAACTTTTGTAGAGCTTTTCACGAAGCATCTTTAAATGAAAAATCAAGATGTTATCAATTTCTCAAGCCGAGATATATCTGAAATAAAAAAAGCTGCAAACAATTTGGGATATTCAGTGGCAACATCACGCAGATCTTCACTTTTAACGATCTAGAAAAATCATCCGAGCAAGTCAATTGGAATTCGATTATGTAGCTTTTGTAGAGCTTTTTGTGGTGCGTCTTTTGAAAGAAAAGTCAACATATTATAATTTTGTTAAACTGAGATATATGCAAACAAAAGCCTTCCAAACGTTTTTAACACGTGGAAAGTAGTACTATCATTCTACCTTCCCATATTGAACATGGGAAGGACCATCAGAACAAGTTAATAGGAATTTGTTTATACAAATTTTGCAGAGCTTTCCTCGGTACATCTTTTAAAAAATAAAACAAGATTTTATCATTTTGTTAAGTCGAGTTATATGCGAAATAAAAATGTCGCAAAACTTTTGCAACACCGGTATATTTCAAAGTTATTTGATGTTTTTCATTTTTAATAAAATGAGTTCGTCTGTCATAACTCAACTTTGTGAACAATTTCAAAGACAATCAAAAACAGTTACTGTAGATCAAGTAAAAATATTTTGTGATAATATTCTCCTTCAATTCAACCAAAATAACGATCTAAATAATCCCACTGTATTAAACATAGTAGTCAATATTTTATATTCGATTAAAAAGGAACAAATGAATGATCCTTCCGCATTGGATCATTCACTTTTTGTTACTCTTCGCAATACGCTAGTCTTACTTTTACAAGACTACTGAAATAATCAGACAATGTATCAATTGGGGAAAAATATTTCCAACTTGATCAGTAATATGACCTTTAAATTTGTTAATACTCATGTCGATATATTCAAACGGCTATTGATATGCAAGCCATTGATTAATGAATTTAGTAAATGTATCAATGAATGTACTCAGAATATAGTGAATGTATCAGAAGAATTCGTCGAAATTCTAAATAATCTACTTTTTGCATATGAAAAATTAAATCGAAAACGACTTAACATTCAAGATGATCCTTTGATGAAAATACTTTTTGAGCCAGTGGCAAAATGCTTTGTAGGGTGTGGGTGTGGGTGTGGGTGTGCGTGTGGGGTGGATGGGTGTGGGCGTTACTACTCTGTTCACTAACACCCACACCCTGTGTTACATTTATTTATCCATTTGATTCTTTCTCTTGCTTTTCACCCTCCAATAATTCATTTTCAACCTAATCCATTACTCATTGATTTACAATTGATATATGGGAAATCAGTAGTTTTCTTTTTTGAATACATTCTTCTCTACCTTGTAGATTAAACCCTCCGACACATTAGAAGACTTCTTTCGAAAGAATAGTACAAGAGACAGATCGGAAGACCTATTGCCACAAAAATACTCACCATTCAGTCTGGTACGCCATCATCCTTCTGTCATTTTTAACACTGTGTGTGTGACCTATGAATTTGACGGCAGATGAAAAAAAATTTCCATAAATATCAAATAAAAGCGTTTTCTCCTATTAATGACACGTATACTAAAAAAAACTTAAAATATCCGGCTGTATCACTGTTTGAAAACCTGAATTTTAGTGTTGATTTTCAGTTCGCATCCAGTCATTGATGAAAGTTGTGCCTTTGTGGCAGTTTCATACATAACAAAAATTGGACTATTGATAATTCAGTTTTTTTACAGATGAATTTTTAATGTATGATATGGTTTTTGGCAATCGACGAAAGTGAGCAGTGCGAAATTCATAATATTTCGCAGTTCGAAAGAGTTTTTGGTGTTTTTCTTACGAATAATCTGTTTTCTTGGTCATAAACGACGATCATGATAGAATGATTTATTGTTCAAAAAGTGAATAAAAATAAAATGTTTTTGTGAACGATAAGACAGAATAGAAGACTCGGGATCTTTTAATATGTTCAGAGTTTCACAAGTGCGTTATTCTAAGAGACTTCTCTTGGTATTTTTACAATAAAACAGAATATTAAAAAGTTTCACTCGATGTTGCTGCATAATTATCAGTACAAATTCTTGTTACCACAGTCATGATCATACAAGATCAATTAACTATAATGATTGAGACTTTGTTCAAAATCAATTCTGGAAGGGATATAGAGCCTTCGTAGCTGTGAGATTGTGTTTTGATCGATTGGCTTATTTCATTTCTTTGTAAAGAATGCATTGTGATAAGAACTACTGAGTTCTGAAGAAATAATCCTCGTGCTGAAACACATTATATTGTAACTCATTGTTATTTTCAAAAAGTCATAAGACTAATTTTATTAAGAACTGTTACTCAGTAAGAATTAGAGTTATATTTAGTTTGAATGAAAGCTCTGTCCTAGACATCAATCAATTAAAAAATGATTCAGTTTAAAAAACACCAAACATTCTTCTCCAACTTCAGCAAAAAAAGGAAAAAGATGCAATATGAATATTGATTGAATGCTTGACCAAAGGAGAAAGAGATATTACCCGTAAAAATCTCTCTTTCTGCACCGCATCCAGTGCCAAATCCAGTTGATGAATCCTAATACGGTGACGGACGATCGTTGACTGGTGGTGGCATGTATAGTAATGGTTGAGGACCAATTGTATGCGAAGGAAAGGGAGCGCTTTGGCCGATTTCACCCAGTAAATAAAGTCAGAAACATGAAAAACAGATAAAAGGTGCTTTACTGATTAACGTGACTGTCCTACTCTTTTTTTTCTCTACTCACAACAATCTGATTCTTGCGTATTTTCAAGCAACTTCAAGACTAAACTTGGACTTTTCTGTCTTATCGTAGGATTTAATATCATTTCCATTATGTCATAGTTCAATCAGGTCTGCTGCTTTATCTTGGCAACATACTATATGATATAATGATATACTTTACCTGATAGGTAAAAGTTCAATTTGGTTTGTCATTTTTATATCCTCCAGTATACATGGTACCGATACTCAGTCGTCAACGCGAGGGTGTCATTGATCTCGCCGAATATTTTGCTGCTTCTTCAGCGATAGTTTGTTGCACTCTCTTCATCTTGTGTGATTGCATCACACAGCATCCAATAAATGCACAAATCACTTCAAAAAATAGAACTCCAGTGCCCATTCCAATAAATACAAGAAAAGTAGATCGAACAGAACTATTACAACTCATTACTAATGAGCCGGCAGTTGTTAATGCCATTCCGCCCAAGATCGACACAACGAAAACAATGACGATAATAACAAAGAATTTATCTAAACTAATGACACGTTTGATGTTACTGATTCATTGTCGAAATTCTTCTTGTCTGACGATACCATTCAAGTGAATCAGATAATTAGAATCGAATTCATATTTCATACAACTACCTACAGCATATAATTCAAAATGCCTTAATGAATTTGATCAGCGGAAGTTCATTTGTACCATAGACATGACAACTATATTTAAATTTAAAGGTGTGGATGTGGGTATGGGTATGAATTAAGGCAAGATTAACATCGAGACTTACATCCACACGCATCTATACAGAATTTACTTTTGCAGAAACACTGCAAAAGTAAATTCTGTCATTTTCGACAGTCTTTCTTTACACATTGTCAATTATGTATTTTCTCGCTGCCATTAAAAACATAGATTTTTTATGAGTTTTGATTCATAACCAGGTGAATGAGCAAACATTTTTACATGAGTGTTTCATAAAGGAATTTCTTGAGAAAAATAACTCTTGCCGAAAATCATAGCCAAAGGAAACAGGGATATGTCTTGTTTAGGATGAAATTGCTCATACAGAGTCTTTGAACCCGAGTCATATTTGCTTGATTGATTGATCTTAATCGTCGGCAGCTCTACCAACACATCCTCCACTTCCAAAGTCTCCACCTTCATGATACTCTCCGGTTTCATGATCCGATTCGCAACCGTCTTCGATCGCACTATATAACAATGCTCTATTAGCACTCGAAATATGAATCGGCACTGAAACTTTTGCTGATAAACTTGTGTATTCTGATGTTTCTAAACGTTTCTGATCAACATTGTCATCATAACCTGATTTAGAAGTATTCTCCAATCGCTTAGCGGTTTTCTGATAAGTATTATTTACGATATTTGACTCAATCTCATCATAATGATCGAGAATAAAACCACAGGAATCTGTTGAAAAAGTTTGATACTGTGATGGATTTCTCATGTGTGTACGCCATATCAAATCAATATCAAAAGTTGGTACGATCGTTTGGTTTTTGTGAGGCAATCTCATGAAATATATATAATTTAGTACCAAACGTAGGAATTCTGAACGATGCATAGTTCTTAAGTTGAAGGAATACAGATAATGTTCTCTAAATTTTTCAAGAAAACCACGTTGATGAATGATGGCTTCTCTCAAATCGATCGAGGGAACGAATGATGAACGGGTTTTTGTGGATGAAGATGTAATCTGTGAATCATGTTTCTTTTCAGGATTAGGTAGATATTTAAGAACTTTTTTATCGAGGATTTCTCCATCTGAAAGTTGTTTAGTACAATCGTTGCTATAGTTTACAGGATGAAGACGATGAACGTGCCAAATCCATTCAATTTCCCATGGAAGGTGCATGTGTTGATCTTTGTTAATTATTTCTAGTCGCGCCATTCGTTCACAATAATCGTTAATGAAGTGATCCAATCTTTGTCCGTCGTTAGTCATTTCTGGATGAGCAATCACTTGGCGAAGTAACAAGATGTGCTCAACTAAGTCTTTTTGAGAGATTCGTAATTCATTTCCATCTTTTGTTCGAATTCTTGCATCGATCTTCCGCGTTGAGCATGACAATAAACTACCCATTTCTTATTTATTGCAACTCTGCTATTATTTTGATATACCTTCAAAAGATAAATTTCACACATATTATAAACTCTAGTGTACGTTCCCAAAAGAAATACAACGGATAAAGAAGTATGGGTTTTGTCATAGTGGATAAAAATTTGCTTATCGTAAAATATTTTTAATGAATCATTATCTGTTTGTTTTCTATTCTGCTACACTTAATACAAAAGAATGTTAATAAAAGCGAAATACATAAAGAAAGAGAACAGCAATCAGCAACAATAGTGGAAAATGATAAAAATAATGCACCGTGTGAGAGAAAATGATGTCTTATAGATTAATTGAAGTTGTTTGAAAACTTCCGGATTATTGCTTATGTCGAGTTATAAAATTATTAAGCATCAAACAAGAATTCTTCTTATTCTAGGTATGACAAAAAACGTTACTTTAAAACTTCAAGTCGTTTCCAAAAATAATAACAGGATCTATTATTAAAAAAGTGCTTGCTGCTCGTTCGAAAGTAATCGTTGAGTGAGAACTAGTGATTTGATCTATTTTATCTGGACAGGCAAGTGGCTATCTACAGGTTTTCTGTGACTAAAAGATAGATACTTCTTATTGATTTCGGAGGACGAAGGCTTATTTTAGAACACAACTAAAGAAAAATTTCAGAACTTTCTTCGAGTTTGAGCAAAGTATTTCCAAATTTTTCAAATATAGATAAAATAAATATGGTCTAAAGAACACTGGTATAAATTCCTTGCGTTCTATTTCGTTTTTATACAAGAATACTAATTAGTCTCCCCTTGCCTGGTACAATAGGCGACATGAAACAAAGTTATGAAGAAACACTAACTTTGATGAAAGATGAAACATCTCTTGTTTCTGATCAAAAAACAGATCTTCTCGTATTCAGCTAGATCGCAGCAAAATTGGAGTAAAGAGAGTTGACGAAAATTTTAGGACAGGATCGGGCTTTCTACTGCTGCTATTACGCAAAAAACAATGCATTTTTAAAAGTCGATCGTGCATTGGGAAGACCTCAATACTTGTGTCCCTCTTCATATTGTAGGATGTCTTTTACTTGTCGAAAAGTAACTTCAGTATAATTGCTTCCTCTTTGTGCAGAATAAGAAGAAGAGAAGAGAACACCGACTGTTTCGTTGATCGAAAAAGGGCAGTTGCAAAAAAAAAAATTTTGATACTTGAAAATTTGAAGTATAAACAAGACGTGCAACAGTTAGATGCAGTTTCACTTTTTCTCTTTGTCTTTCTTCACAAAGTCCAACGACAGCATGGTGGTGACGATTAATTCCAAAACGGCCGTGCAGTATTAAAGCGTATCACTTGAAAAAAGAAAACAATACATTTTTTCTCACTGACAAAAAAGCGTTCTTACATCCCACCATTCTCAGCACGAGAGTATCACGAAAAATTATTTTTTGGCTGCAAACGCTAGAAGCGTGTCTAGGTATTGCAGGGTGTGGGTGTGAGTGTAGGTGTAGATGTGGGTGTGGGTGTGGATGTGACTGTGGGTGGGGTGTGTGGGTGTGAGTGTGGATGTGTGGGTGTGGGTGGAGTGTGTGGGTGTGGGTGGGGTGTGTGGGTGTGAGTGTGGGTGGGGTGTGTGGGTGTAGGTGTGAGTGTGGGTGTGGGTGGGGTGTGTGGGTGTAGGTATGAGTGTGGGTGTTGGTGTGGGTGTTGGTGTGGGTGTAACTGTATGGGTGTGGGTGGGGGTATGGGTCTGGATGTGAGTGTGTATGGAGTGAGGATGTCGTTGAAGAGCACACCCACACCCACACCCACACCCACATCCACATCCACATCCACACCCACACCTACACCCACTCCCACATCCACACCCACACCTACACCCACACCCACACCACGCACACCCTCTTAAGATCTCCTATATCTGTCGGAGGAGTTTTCGACCATGACTAAACGAAGAACGTCACAGTAGATGTCAAGTGACGTATCAGCCAATACAGAAAAATTCTATTCAGTCATAACATTAAAAGCTGAATTGACAATAAAGTTTTCGGATAGACTTACTTCGAAAATTGTCAGATAGAATCAATAAAATTGAATTGAGACAAGTTTCTTTATATCAAATAGCGTTTTTGATTGAGACTCGACAGTACGTTGAGAGGAAACTACGAACCATAATCTCAATGGATTATCTTTGAATATGAAAAATGAACAATCACTTTGAAATAAGATGTCGATCGCAAAAAAATGACGAAAATCGCTATAACACTGATAAAATCACTTTTGACGAGTAATAATAGCAGTATTAACCAGATTTCAATCACATATGTGTCAAATATAAACTCGGTTGAGTTAGATGATGAATTGTGAATGACACAAAAAGATCCAGGTTAATTCTAAATTGTTCCTAATATTTATTTATGTTGATAGTTGCAAATTGATAGTTTCGAAGAAAAAGAAAAACATTATTGTTCATAAAAAGCTGACTCTTAATGTACAAGCCATCGGCTCATCTATGAGCTAAACGCATACTGGGATAGTGGTCACATTAGAACTGGAACATTCTTTTAGAAGTATACCATAAGGTCGAATTGCTTTCTCATTAAATACTCGTAGTGCAAGACCAACACTGACAGGTCCGTGATGCTCTGTAAATTGATCATTCTCAACACGGCATTGAAATACAACTTGATATTCACGAATTGTTCCCGATGAATCTTTTATTTAGAATTTGCTGGCATGTGCTGCGGCTCCTCCTTCACAATGTGTTGCGCAATGCGA